AGTTTTTTGGAGAAGAAATAAGAAGAAATAAGTGAACTCATTTTCCCCTCTCTCTGAAATTATTTGTAGCATCTGATTATCCTTGCTAAAAGAAATATCAAAAGCACTGAGTTTTCCATAGAAAAGGTACTCTTCCTTACAGTCCTCATGTTTGCAGTGCAAAGTACATGGATTAACTGCAGTAATGAGAATAAGGAGTGCTTGTTTTCTGGGAAGCTCTCTAGATTTCCAAAAGCAAAGCACATGCAGTCCCTTGCCAGTGAAACACTGTAAATTCAGTGTTACATTTTGTGTGGTGAGCATGCATCATCAAATACTTTTAGCACCGAGGCATTTTTTTTTTTAATGTTGCAAAAGCAAATACCCAAGGAGGGTTTTCATCATATTTGACCCTTCTTAGGGCTGAGTAAAAATGAAGTGCTTAAAAGAACTTGTTCAAACATAACACAGATCTGATTCCAATGTAGCAAGAAGCCTGGGACAGACACAGCCAGCAGCATCCTAGAAGATGAGGAAAGGAGAGAAAACGGAAAAGATAAAGCGCACAAGACTACTACCTTCGCCTGCCCGCCACGGCACGCCCTTCTACGCCAGGAAAGAGGAGTTACAAATAACGTGGAGAGGCCACCGATGGTCTGGAGAACAGAACTAGCAAACCTGCAGTCTAGGCAATTCTGGGATTGTACAGTATCTTGATATCTATCTGCTACTTAGAAGACTCCAGATGCACCTCTATAGCAATAGTTAGACTCGTGTTTCTGCACCACCGAGGATGTTTGAAGTCCACACAGGCTAAAAGTATAATTGGCTTGGCCAATTGACTTGGGCTCTCCTACTGCTCCTGGGCACACCAGAGAATTTCCAGAAATGCTTCAGGTCCATTCAAAAACCATGCAGCTGCTCTTTGGTTGATGCAAAACAGGCTCCAAAAAGAAACTTTCTGGTTCCACGTCCACCAAAGAATGCAAGCTGGAATTGCAGATGGAGGAAGAATTTTCTTGGTAGTTTGGTGAAAATGCAGGACGGTCATTATGACTTCCTCCTTCTTTGATGGCTGCATTTCCAAGTGCATGCTCCCGTTTGTGACCACAGCACAGCGACTGACAGCAACAATCGCACCAGTTGTTTGGTACATAACATGTAACGTTTTGTCTATGTTCATTTAACATGTAGCACTTTGTATATGTTCATTTAAAACTTTTATTTAGGAAACTTAAAACCCATATTCACTAAAAATTAATGGAAATGTTAACATTCTGAAAGAGGAAAACACAAAAAAGAAAGCATACACTGAAAATCCCCAGAGCTCAGATTCAATAAATCTGAACCACATTTCCTCATGATTCATTTCAGAAATTCTACTGAGAATGCTAACATCAAAATTGGATTTGTTCTATATTAAATATGAACTATAAATAAATACTTGAGGTATGTTATGACAACTTTGAATATAACGCTTAGCTAAATAAATGTAAATTTACCTTGAAAATCTAAACATTAAATTTTGATGTTTCCTACAGATTTTTTTTTCTACACAAAGGAATAATAACTTCTCTACTCTTCAGAAAGCAAAAAATGAAATGCTTTACCTCACTAAATTATAGTCACACTTGTCTTTGTTAACCAAAACCATTGTAGGCATCATATAGTGTAAGAAGCAAGTGATGGAGACAGAAACCTGCTTCTGAACCCTAACTTGGCCACTCTGTACAATCCTAAACAAATCTCTTTACCTCTCTGAGCCTCAGTTTTCATGATGTTTAAAAAAAAAACAGAATAAAAATAGTTATCTTGCAAAGTTATTAACAGTATTAAAATAAATGATGTATATTAAGTCCTTGACAAAATTCTCTGAAATAGTCAACACTCCACAAAAGATAATTTGTTTCTTCTCTGCTCCTCCTTCCCCCCCCCGCAACTTAGTTCTAATGACTTTTGAATGTTTTCAAGAATTAAATCTACCTACAAAGGATAAGGACTTCATACTAATGAAGATAACAAAAAATGTGCTCCAACCACCCACCTTCCCCCTGGGTGTTTCTAAATTAATAGGCTAGACTCATAGATATTATACTTGCATATTAAAGCCAAATAATACATTATAATCTACAGAGTTGATAAAAGAACAAGGTGACCTTTTTTCCAAAACAAGTAATTAGAAGCCTAAGTTCATGGAAAGTGGGAATTAAACTTACAATAGTTATACATTATTAATACATTAATCTACAGAGTTGATAAAAGAACAAGGTGACCTTTTTTTCAAAACAAATAATTAGAAGCCTAAGTTCATGGAAAGTGGGAATTAAACTTATAATGGGAGCTATGACCATGAAGTAACAAACATATAAGAACCTCATATCTACAATTAAATGGTGCCATTTATAAAATAGTCACTTTAGTTGACTATGCAATATTCCAAGGATACTACCAGGACCCAAAGCATTCTTAATTGGTACGTATTCTAAAACTTCAGTCTTCTGTGATTTTTCATTACTTATTCTACATGAACCAACAACACATTAATGATACACCCACTGTTTATAAGTATCACATACTTGAGGAAGTACAATATTAACAATTGTGGTGTACAATTCAGGCCAATTTCTTTGAATTTTGGCAGGTCAACCTAAAGAATTTCATAGAGCAGCAGATGGGTAATTGGCTAAAATAGTGCCTGATAGAGAACTGGTCAATGGTTGCTGAACTGGATGGATGACTGTTCAGGGTAGAGAAAGGGGACCATCTAATTATATGTGAAGAGTCTGTCACTTCCTACCCTGGAGTTCAGAGAGCAGCTCCTTTTCAAAATATACTACCAAGAAGAGAGAGATTCTAAGAGTGTTGGAACATACAATCTTAGCTTTAAAAAAAAAAAAAAAGGTGCTAATCCCACCCAAATTCTCTCAATGCAGTTCTTTAGCAATTAGAGGAGAATTAAGAAAACACCACCTCTCCCCATCCTGTATATCTTTAGCTCCAACACAAAAGGAAACTTTCTAAAGGATCTAAAGGATCAAAGATCTCCCATAGAGAGTAAAAGAGAACCCTGAGGGAGCAGAGTAGACACTAAGTTAATCAGCAACATTCTCTGAAGACCTTCAATATATACCACATGGAGGGAAGTTGGACAGACACCACAGTAACTACAGGCAACAGCAGACTTATGACTCAGCCAAATGAGACCGCTCCAAAGGAAGTCCTTGTTACCTGTCCACTGGCTCAACCCCTTACAGACATTATTCGGTCTAATAGTGATAACCCTCTCCAAAAACTGCATGCCACCAAAAGAACCATTTGACAACACCGTTCTCAGGTGGAGAGGAAAACAACCTTGAACTGTTCACGGAACTCCACCAGTGTCTCCAAGGGTGAAGGGCAAAAAGCCTGAATCATGGGACAGTTCTGTCCCTCATGTATCCTCTGTGGAAGAGTGTAAGCCAGCTAAGGAAATCAGTTCCCAAATTAGCCCCTACATAAGCATAGGCTCCTTGGCAGAAACTGTTCACAATTATATTGGTATTTGGACCTTACAGTACCTCCTAAGTCCGGGTTGTCAAGGATTCTTTTTCTGAGCAGCCAAGATCCCAGGAGTTAACCTGCTATCAGTCCAGAGTGCAGCTGGGAAGCATCTACCTTCAGAATCATGTAGAAAGCATTCTGTGTGGCACCTAAGTCAAAGGGATGTGCTGGCAGGAACTGAAAAGGATGACGGATAATGAACCCAAAGTGCATTTAGGAACAGAAAAATCCTCTCGCAGAATTGCTTCGGGAAGGTTAACAGGAGGAAGGAATCAAAGAGAGATGCAAAACTGTTCTAACTCTGATAAAGTGGAATTCAGTATGACAGGCAAGTTGATTTTAAATAATTTTCAATCATGACTTAGGATCATACTCTCATAGCTCACAGATCTCCCTCCTCCTGTATTCAGAGTGATTTTCACATCACAGGTATAGGTTTCCTGATTTAATTACTCAGCTTCAGGGGCCAACCACGGCAATTTTCTGTACATAAGAAAGAAAGTGATACAGATTTGCTAGGGTTTCCAGGCGTACAACTAAAGCAATCAGATGGGACTCAATCTTACCTCTGTGGAATTTCTTTCTCCAACTATTTTGAGTGTCAAGGTTACAATTCTTAGCTACCCTTGTGTGGGCCCATGAGAGCTAAAAGAATTTCTGCAGCATTTTTCTCTGGATGAGAAAGCTATCAGTTTCTCTCCTTATGATGCATCTCAAATTAGGTTCTAGCCATATTGTTTAGCACACTAGTTTTAAAGCCCCTGGCAAAAGAATACTGGAGTTTATATTCAAGCTATCAGATTTTATGATTCGGCAGACTCTTTACCTTATGATGGGGCAGACAGACTAAAAGAGAATATGTCTTATGAAATAAAGTAGCTGTTCCTTTTGTCACACTATGCATATGATTCCTTTGAAGCATCTGAAAGATTCTACCTGATTTATAACTCTGCTATGGCTTAAAATGCTATTAACAGTACTTCAGGGAAAGTTTATTGTCCTCTTTTCAAAACGTTATCTGCTTTAGTCTCTTGAAAGAAAAAGTTAACATGCTGCACTTACATGTTCCCAATCAAAATTGCATAGTTGAGGCAAATTCATTTGTGCTTTGTAGCGGAACTCACAGTAGGTGTTCATATCTAAAAACTCTTGATTTGTAAATGCAAAGTCATGGTCAAGCTCACCTTTGTTTGGAGTGTATGGTAATGATATGTACAGCCAGGACACTTCCCGTGATTTTGTTAACCAGGCACCTCTCAGCCTTATACCACATTGGAGCACGAGCATGAAATTAACATAGCGGAAATGGTAACAAATCTATCTAAACTCCTCCTTCTTGGAGAGAAGGGGGGAAAGGCTCTCAGTCTTGTTGAGGTATCCAGCCCTCAATCAATAGTGGCTGTGTATACTGAGTTTTGTTGGTTTGAGGATTGTGTCTTTAGAGGTTAAAAAAAGAAAGAAAGAAAAGAAGGCACGGGTGTTTCTCAAGTTGCCATATTCAACTCAACCAACAAAACTAAAGTCTTCCATTTTCAAGCTTCAGGAGGAGGCTACATGGCAGTAGGGCTTTCTTCCAGCCCCGGGTCTGGGGAGGAGCTTATTGCTTCGGGGAAGGGCCCCGGATAGGTCTGTGCTGTGTACTGGATCCCTTTCTGCAGACCAGTCTCTTCGGGGAAATCCCCCTGGCTGCTGAAAGCTGGACAAGATCTAGTCCGGGCACCCTTATTGGCGTTGTCGGTGTGGCCCACCATCTCGCTCACTGTGTTCAGAGGAAATTCTCTCCACCTCTGCCTCTGCAGCTCGTCCTCCTTGTATTTAATGGAGTACCAGGCCAGAAAAATAAAAATGAAGCCAACAAATTTCAGGCCGGCCGCCAAACCAAAATAGACAAAACGAAATGATGTCACGTTGTACTCCCAGCAAGAGCCTTGCACTCCACATTCCTGTTGCCAGAGCATGCAGGTGGTGTCAATAACTGCTCCAAAGTAAATTGGAGTAGGAATGTATGCTAGCATTGTAGAGAAAAAGAAAAAGAACAATATTTAGCCCATCTTATCAGAGAAAACAGATTTGTAAATTAGAACCCTCTAGAACCAGTGGAGGGCACTGGTTTTCTTGTGTTACTTGACTGTTTTAAATATGTCACATCCTATCATAATATATTTATTATAAAAACGTTCACTAAGTTATAAATACTTTAAATCTTCCAGTTTGCAACTCGGTCAGAATACGCTATTGATTTTGAGATTGTAAAAATGTCGATTGCTTAAAATCTCAATTAGGCAATCCTTTTAAACTTAAAAATCAAATTTTGCCATTAAATACTCAAGAGACTATACGACCCTTTATAAACCACTAAAATTCAGTATACTTAGTTCTTATGGGTTGGGTTCTAGTCCTCAGGTGCAGGAAGAGTATGAAGAAAACACTGTCCCCTCTAAGCCAGAAACCACATCAAATGGAAAACTGTATAAAGACATTTGGAGCATAGAAATAACTAAGGCAGGAAATTCATCTTTGAAGCTTGTGAAACATCTGTGATGAGTAGTAGCTTCATTGTTTGGGCTGTGAGATAGATATTTCTTTACTCCCATAAGAAAGAAAGTCTACCCAAGTAGACTTCCTTCACCATACGTTACTCCCTTTGCTGAAATGTGTCCCCATCCCCAGAATTGTTCACCTTGCTATTATCTACCCCTCCTTTAAATTCCTCACTCACTCGGATGCCACTGTATTGCCACTGCATTTTGTATACACCTTCATTGTATCAACTATCACGTAGCATGAAAGTGTCTGCAGATTTGTCACCCGTAAGCTCCTTGATGGCAGAGGCCATGCCTTTTATTCCTTGCATCCCAAGGACCCCTCAGGACAGCCCATGGAACCTCAATAAGAGTTTATAAAAGGAAGTGATGGGAAGGAACAAGGGAGAAAAGGAAGAAGAAAAGAAGAGAGGAAGGAAGGGTAGACAGTGGACTAAGCGATGTATTTTTAAATATGTTATATTCGTTTCAAATGAGGTGTGTTCACTACAATTAAAAGTTGACATTACTAAAACACTTAAAACTCTCTTTTTGCTTTGGAATTTGGGGAAATGGAAATTGGTTTGTTCGCCCAACTCTAGTTTTTCATAATCAACAGAACTTAAGTCAAGGTTGAATTAAATAATAGATGACTGAAATGTCCTCCTTCCACTTACTCCTGACACTGTGACATCCCTCTTATTGACTTGCCTTCACCTCCAATTCCATATGAAACCACCCCAACTCCATGGCATCAAAGACAAGCAAAGCAAAAAGGAGGACCTATTTTTTTCTTTTCCTATTCAACCACCCCTTTGCTAAACAAATTTCCTTCTTTGAAAACAACTTTTTAGTTTTCAACAGGAAGTATAAGGCAAGCTTCTTAACAAAATCAAAGCATGCCAGAATTTCCTTTCACCAGCTGCCTTTGAAAAATGGGAACTTCGAAGTTTTATCAGTACCAAAAACAAAACAAAACAAAACAAAACAAGCCCCCCTTTCAATGCAACTAGAAGCCTCTGAGGATGACCAGACAGTTCCTACTCCCAGACTGGGCCACCAACTGCAACGTAATGACAAATTGAGAATTCCAGGAATCCATAATCTCTCAGGGTTCATCCAAGAATCAAACTGAGGGTTTCAGAGGGGAGTGGGGTGGGGATGGGTTAGCCTAGTGATGGGTATTAAAGAGGGCACGTTCTGCGTGGAGCACTGGGTGTTATACGCAAACAATGAATCATGGAACACTACATCAAAAACTAATGATGTACTGTATGGTGATTAACATAACATAATAAAAAAAGTTATAAAAAATAAATTGATAATTCCAGAGAAGATTAATGTTTCAGAGGGTCAGATGATACCATTTTAAAGTGTTTCACCCTTCAAAATGGAAATTAAAAATTTAAATCAAAAAACCTATTTTTTTTTTTTTTTGTCCTGTGGACAATGATACTGATTACTGGAAGAAACGACAGCTCAAGAAAATGACAGACTTCTACTTGCAAAAGAAAAAATATGCTTGATGATGGGGAAGTCAATTACAAATACAGTGAAATTGATCAAGGCAATGGGCTACTTCACATGATATTTCCCATGCATTGTCCCAAAACATGACAGAGTGATACAGTGTTTGCCAAAATCTGAACGACGTTCTCCATGCCCTAATGAACTCTGCAATATATTGACAGTGCTAATGAGCTTCTCTTGTTAATCAGTAAAGGGGACTCCTCATGTATCCTCATGTATCATTTGAGGATCTTTCTTTTTTCTTTTCAGAAAACTTGATAGGTATACTTTTGCCCGGCCCAATAAAATTACTGTAAGGAGGTAAGGAATTAAAATTTTCGCAAATAATACGAGTGCTGATTTCCATCACTTTCATGTTAAAAAGACATAAAGGGAAAAAAATGCCAGGATCTTAAGCCCATTACAATTGCTTGGTTCAATATTTCTTACCGTACCAAAAACGCTCTGGGGAATTTAGCCCACTTTCACTTTAGGTTCAGAGTCAAAAAGAAACTGTTCTAAAGTCAGGTGTGTTCTGTTTCATCAAAGCACAGAACTGGGTAGCTTCCAGTTCAAATCAGAAAATAAGGAAGTTGTGTCCTTCCGTTAACCCATAAAATCCTAGCTACTACTAATGGTAACAAGTGATTGACTTGCCATTTTTAAAGAACAGTGAGAATCTGCCATCTGTAAAGAGGAACTAAGAGGCACACGTGGAAATTCAGGAACGTACCAAGTGTTCGCAATAAAACAAACTGCATTCCCAGCGCAAAAGGTCTCTCCTCATCTTCTACCGATCTATGATGAAGGGAAAGAAAGAAATGTTTTAAAACACTGGCCTCAAGAAAATGAACATCAAATCAAGCCTGCTTAGCACAGAGATGGGCACCAAAGAGCTGCTGTGCCAAAATATGTATATTAACCACAGCCAAACAAGACTGCTGATGTAGCTGAATTGGTCAATGAGTTCTCCCCAGTGAAGACTCCAAAGAAGCTCTGATTAACTCTGTTTCTGGGCAGATACTGGTGGAGGGCCAAAGGTTCATGGTTGAAGGTACAGAAGTAGCTCTGAGCTTCTAAAATCAGTTCTGTGAAAATAGATGTAATAATTTATCCTAACTACCGCATTCTTTTTTTTTCTATCTGCTTACACTTTCCAGAGGGCAGGTGTGTCGACTGAAAGTTATTCCCATAGTTTTTCAAGGAAAAGTATGAGGAAAGAAATTAAAGAAGTAGAGGGGTGCCTGGATGACTCAGTCATTAAGCGTCTGCCTTTGGCTCAGGTCATGATCTCAGGGTCCTGGGATTGAGCCCCGCATCGGGCTCCCTGCTCAGCGGGAAGCCTGCTTCTCCCTCTCCCACTCCCCCTGCTTGTGTTCCCTCTCTCGCTGTGTCTCTCTCTGTCAGAAAAAAAAAAAAAAAATTCAAAAAAAAAAAAAAAAAAAAGAAATAAGTAGAGTCCAAGAAAAGTATAAAAAACAAGTCAAACGTTAGAAAAAGAGTGAATCCCTCCCCACTACCTCATGTTGTTCTTCTTTTCCCAAAACATATGTTCCAAGTAATTCCTACACGGCAGGAAGATTGGAATCTATTGATTTGTAATTAGAAAAGATTAAAGGGCTCCTTTTCTGAAGTTTTGGGTTAGAAGCCAGCTGGTGATTTGCCATGTTGGAGCGCAATGACATGGGCAGCCCTGATCCGGGTTATTTAACATCTCTTGCAGAATTAAAGTTTAAAGAGTGAGATTATTAAGGATTCATTTTTTAAAATGATGAAGTACCTGTTCTTTTCTGTCTCATACACACTGAGTTCTAGGTATAGCATGTTGACCTCCCCAGGACCCGCGCACCTGCCATCTTTTTCCCCACCTCCCTTATCTTTTCCTAGCAATTTGGCCAAAGCTGTACACACCATTGTTACTCCATAAGTATCTGTTGATGGAGGAATTGAGTGAAATCAACCAATGGGCCTTCCCACCGGGTACTCTTATCGTACGTCTAATTCAGCATCCCATAAAGAAGAGAAGCCAAAATGTGCAGAATAAGCAGCAAGCAGCCTAACTGCCCTGCTAAGAATGACGTCCTAGCAGGTGTGACCAACAGGTGCCCAGCAGTGTGGGGCACAGTGTGGGGTACCCAGGGGGCAGGGTGGAGGTAAAGGAAGAATGAGGACTGATCCCCTTTCCTCCCCGCTCCTTCACTGCCTCCCTGGTCCTCCTGAAGCTGCTGTGGGCAAGCTTTTTCTTCACCACGCCGTGCCCCCTTCCTTCCTTTGCCCATTGCAGTCTTTACTGCACATGCAACACACTGATCTGATTGGGTCCGTGTCAACATTTTTTAACAGGACTTCTGTTAAAATAACGTCCGTGTTCTCTTATAAGCAAAAAACCACTAACAGGATGTACAACAAAACACAGCACGAACAACTGAAAAATGACATTTCCCAGTCCGTCCTTTCCTTGGTTCAACTCCAAAATTTTATATGATAGTAACATTCATGAAATCCGCATTTTGAACTGCAGCCCCAGCGGGAAACGTCACTGATCCTGGAGGTACTAACTACCTACAAGGTTGGAGATAATAGTCTTTGCTATACTTGAGACTTAGCAACGTCACCAAATGACTTCCTGTCCCCTCTGGAGTCAGGCTCCTTGTGGCTAACATGGTGACAGCTTTCAGCTCCTGATCTTGAACCTTATAGGGCCCAGACTTAAGAAGGCAAAGGCAGCCCCAAGAAGTTTCACTAAACTACAGGACTAGAACCCATCTGAATAAAGAAAGTTCTGGGGTATGAAACGTTGCAACCTTCCTTTCTCTTCCTGACATGGGAAAACACTTCTCTTAAATTCAATAAGCAAATGTCTGAGCGCTTCCCTGCACCATCTGACTTTGCTTTCCCCTCCACACTACCACATCAGTCCCAGCTTGGAATGTGTACTCTGGCAATTCTGAATGTATAACCCACCTGGAAGTTGAGTGCAGTTCTCACCTGAGTGTTACTATGATGGCTGATGGTTGGGCACATGCTGTGATGAAGGTGACAATGAAGAGAAAAATTAAGAATGGGATAAGGGTATTGCAGGCCCGTTTGCACTTCCCAGACACAGCATAGCCGTTCTCATTGAGATAGGTTTTGACAATAACCACACGGAGCTGACTGCGCTGCCCGACTGTAGGTGGAGTGATCACTTGCCGGCTTTGGACACACGTGCATTCTGTGTAATTCCTTATCTAAGGGATAACAAAGATCGGTTGTGAGCCAAGCCAAAGCATAGGAAAATTAAGACAAAGTTAAAAGCCCTAACATAGCTCTAGTATTTAAATATGCATAATATTTTGCTGAGCGAAATAAGTCAATCAGAGAAAGCCAGTTATCATATGGCTTCACTCATATGTGGAATATGAGAAACAAAACAGAGGATCATAGGGGAAGGGAGGGAAAGCTGAACGGGAAGAAATCAGAGAGGGAGACAAACCATGAGAGACTCTTAAGTCTAGGAAACAAACTGAGGGTTGCTGAAGGGGAGGTGGGTGGGCGGATGGGGTAACTGGGTGATGGGCATTAAGGAGGGCACGTGATGTGATGAGCACTGGGTGTTATATGCAACTGATGAATCACTGAACTCTATACATCGAAAACTAATGATGTGTTGGCTAATTGAATTTAAATTTAAAAATATATACATAATATTTAACTGAAAATACAGCCCCATTGCTAACAGTAAGGATCCAAAGTGTGCATCCAACAGTGTCTGCTTAGCCAAATCGTTTAAACCTAAACTTTTATAAGGAGCTTTCAACACTGTTCTAGAGCGTTCACATTCCATATGCTCATTTTGGTCACAACTATGCTGTTATAATTCTTGGGCTCTCTGATTAGAGAAGCCCCTCAAAAACAGGAACTAAGGGCACCTGGGTGGCTCAGTCGGTTAAGTGTCTGCCTTTGGCTCAGGTCATGATCCCAGGGTCCTGGGATCAAGTCCCACATCAGGCTCCTTGCTCAGCAGGGAGTCTGCTTCTCCCTCTCCTACTCCCTCTGCCCTCCCCCTGCTCATGCTCTCTCTCTCACGCTTTCTCAAATAAATAAATAAAATCTTAAAAAAAAAAAAAAAAAACACAGGAACTAAGCTTTCTGTTTATTTTGCCTACTAGAGCACCTAGCATAGGCCTGACTGGATGCAGTGTAGGACCTAAAGTAAATATTTGTTAAATTAATGCAGAGAATTCATGATGCAGCCATGATGACTCCAGGGCCAGGACCACGGAACATATCATTGGCTGTTTCGCTTGAAAAAAGCTAATTCAAGGAACTAAAAAGGTATTTCAAATAAAAGCAACCAATTAATCTTTCTGCCTGTTATGTTGTCAGACATCAGCTGAACTCACTTTGCCATTGTGCGCTCTCAGCCACTTAGAGAAGCAGTAGCAACAAATATGAGGATGGGGTGCCATTTGTCCATCTGTCCTCCAGGGACTGCTGGCCCCTTTTTAGGAAAGAGGGCTGTGCATTAGAGGACTCCGTCGATCACTTCCGGGGAAGGACTTAGCCACTGAAAACAGATCTTGTTGTCTCTTCCAACTTGGTCACACACTGGTGTGTGTGGTGACCTCAATTATATAATGGGTAGCCAGCAACAGGATTTCTCCATTTATCAGTATAGCTTGAAACTCAGAAATCAAATGACAATCCCAAAACATACAGTCAACGGTCTAATCCCTTAACACCTACACATACAAGTCAACGCACCTTAACCTTTTTAATTAAAGCAGCCTCCTACAATCTGTTCTTATGCAAAGAATGAAACCAGGCTCAGTAAAGAACTGAGTAGAATATGAAAACCTCCCACAGTATTACAGCCTATTTATAATTCACAGAGAAGGGAATTCTCAAAATAGCCTATTCTTGAACTGACAGAAATATCTTTACTCTGAAAGTTGAAAGATAGAAAGAAAGAAAGACAGAGAGAGGGAGGGAGGGAGGGAGGGAAGAAGGAAGGAAGAAAGGAAGGAAGGAAGGGAGCTTGAACTGACAGTCTATGAAAAATGGCCATTGCCCATCTTCACAGACTCTGATCAGGGAAGGTGCTCTCCTATTCTCTTCTATCGGCACCAAAATGTGGTCATCTTGACCTTCAAATGCATCGCAAGGGCCCTGGCAGAGCAAGAAATGGGAGGCCTAGCCCTCAACCTTATCATGTTTCACTGAGTTGGCATAGAATGTAAAGTGGGAGAGGACTGATGTGGAACTAAGTCACTGCACCCACATTCTGCAATCGTCCCTAGGGGAAAAAAAAAATTATAGCATTGCATAATTCTCTATCCTCTGGCTCTTTGTCAGGACGTATTTTGTAGGTTATTTGAAGTTTCTTGAAAAGAGGGACTGAAGCCACATGTTAGCATATGAATCCTAACATGTCCTTGTCACAGGATGTTGGATCAACAACAGTACAGGAACTTGTGATATGTACTCACCCCAGTGCTAAGATTACCACTGTTAACACAGCCAGCCAGACAAGGGTTAAAGTATGTAATTCCATCTGATCCACAGACTGGCTCATACTCATCTATTTTACAACCACAATTAACATTGCAGCTTCCTGTCAGGTTCCTGTGGGGCATGGTAAGAGAAGGTCTAGAGAGAAAAAAGCAGGTCATGAGCAACATTTACTAAAATAAAACTCTAAAGAAAGTTCTCGATGTTAAGTAATTTGTCCAGTTTAGAGAAGCTAGTCCCATTAAATCAAAGCTTTCGTACTGTAAAGTAACCACCTTGGATAATTATCATGACTTTTAAACAAAGCATAAAGAAACATGTTTCAATCTTCCGGTACTATAAATTCAAGACTTCTGTATCAAATTATCTATCATGCCTTGAATCTACCTTCCATCTTGGTGCTACAGATCTGGGCTCAGCAGTTCTAACCCCCATATAACTACTCACTTATTATAGACATTAAGCTCTCTGTCTTAACAAATCCAGGCCTCGATTTCTTTAACTAGAAAAGAGAGGAACTACTTTTCTCTGCCAGATCAATAACACCATTAGGAGAGCACAAACAAAATCCATCCATCACAGTTGTCGACACAGATCCCTCTGACCAAAAACTTTAATTGTTCTGGAATAAATTATCAAAGAAAGATATGGGACTCTAGAAATTGAGTCAGAAGTGATTTTCAAAGATCAGGAATCCTATCACTAGTTTGATTCAAACAACCAGAGAGGAATGATTCAGTCCTTCTTTCAGAATGCCCAGATGTGGCTTCACAGTCAACGCGGTGGGTTTTGTTTTCTTGTAAGATCATGATGTCTGATTTAAAGAAATGATACAATATAAAAAGCTCTAATACAATCAATTCAGGCAACAAATATAAAAGGGTGGGGGAGTAGAAGGAAATGCTGTGGAAGAACAGAGGCAGGCAGGGACCCAGGAGGGACCCATGGAAGCCATGGAAGAATGAAAGGGGCTCCATAGTGACCTCTTTCCTTGGCTTCCATGACCACCATTTTTGTCACTGATGAAATACTGTTCCCAAAGTCACATGAGTTAGTAACAGATCCATCATTCATTTATCCATCTATTCATCATCCATCCATTTGACAATATTCTGGAATGTCTGTGCATGCCAGAACTTATCTTTAATGGTTAGGTTGAGTAACTACCCCTCCAATAGCATAGCCCATCCCAACTCTATGTGTTAATCTATACACATAAAGCATTTTTCACTCAAAGATCTCTCTCCTGTGTCTTCTTTCACACTTTGATAACTGAGTCCTCAAATTTTAATGAAAGGAGCAAATTTATAGCAGTATTTAAACCGTATCAAGGAAGGCTTCTAAAGAAGTAAAAGTGAAATAAATTTTGTTCTTCACTTATGTCACTCTACAGAAGAAATTTTGTCATAAGACTTTGATAATTATGTGCACAAACTCTTGGATTCATATCATTTTGTTGTATACTTTCAAAAATGTGATTCTAGACCAGTAATTCTCCACAGGGGCAATTTTGTTCCCTAGGGGACGTTTTTGGTTGTCACAACTAAGGGAGTGCTACTGATCTGGTGGGTAGGGGGCAGGGATGCTTCTAGACATCCTCCAATACACAGAACAACCCCACACCACCCCCACGCACAACAACCCTGATGACTACATTTGTGCCCCCATGCACAATTTAAACCCCCACGTGACCCCTGCATGACTCCCATTGCCCAAGTCTTAGTGGTCTTGAGGGTGAGGGTGAGAAAGCCTACTCTAGACCTACTACTTCATTCCACAAATGATGAAATGGAGGTCCAGAGAGGCCAAATGATTCAGTATAATGCTAATTAGTGCTGTTTTAACTGGTACCAGATGAAAAGTGTTCTGTGTCCATTACTGTTCTCTTCACTAGTTCTTCAAGAGCTACATTGCAAGCCATGACCAAATAAAAGGGGTTTTATATGTCTGCATGTTTAGTCACTAAAAATGACAGGCTCCAAATCCATACAATATAGTTCTTACTATTGCTATTAAGAAGTTACAAAGAATTTCTTATTCAGAGCATGATTCATATTCATTTATGACCACCTCAAGCTTCCAAACACCTCTCTTTTATGGGTCTGTCTACTCAAGAGAAAGGAATCTAGGAGAATATAAACAGATGCTCCAAAACCCACTGATGACAGGAAGCAAAAGCTTTCCTGAGTTCCAGAAACAGAGGCACAGTCCCAGGTCACCGTTGGGTATGTTTGCTTTTCTCATGAGAACATGACATCTGAAACAAAGAAATGATACAATAAAACTCTAAGAAAATCAAAACAGTCAACAAATATAAATAGCAGTGAAAAGAAGTGGGCATTCACGAGAAAGTCTTCAGGGGAAAAGGCCAGAGTGGCATAAAAAAGGAAAGACACAACATGGTCAAGGCTTTACACTGTGCTGATTTTAAAAAAGAAATAAATTTTAAAGAATAATTATGTCTTGTTCGACTATCACTCACTTTTCAGAAAACAGGCTGGGCTATAATAAGGGTATAAGTGTCTAAATCTGAATAACACCAAGCAACCACTCATTAGCATGAAGGGAACCTACCATGGGAGTACAAATGCACAAGGGCTGTGAGGCACCACCCTTACACTGTGCAAAGTGACTGTGCATCATGCTTCCAATAAACTAAAGCATTTCGGACAAGTTAGCTTTATAAGTTAGAGGCTCCTGTTAGCTCAGAGGCAAGGTAAGTGTTAATTTCCAAGTGAAGAAAAAGTCCTCACTGGGACACCTGGGTGGCTCAGACGGTTAAGCGTCTGCCTTCGGCTCAGATCATGATCCCAGGGTCCGGGGAACAAGCCCCGCATCGGGCTCCCTACTCAGTGAGGAGCCTGCTTCTCTCTCTGCCTGCCACTCCCCCTGCTTGTGTGCCTTCTCTCTCTCTCTCTCTGACAAATAAATAAATAGAATCTTAAAAAAAGAAAGAAAAAAAAAAGGCCTCACTAACAAGTGGACGGACAAACAACTGCAGGGTACAAGTTGCAAGCCTGAGAGTCACACTTGAGATATTACCGTAAAAATCGCAGAATTACAGAACTAGAAAGATGTGAGCGGTCTCTGAGATTATCTAGTACCACTTGCTGGTTTTAAAGAAAAAGAAACTATGAGAGATGTGATGACATGCCCCACAATCATTGAGGCTTCAAGAAAACCAGCCACAGGGAGACCAAATGAACAAAAAAGGGAAAAGGAGCAAGCTTGCCACCCAATCTTTATTAAATCAATTGCTTAAGGATCAACGTTTATTTAAAGTAATATATAATAATCAAACAGACCATGGTTTAACAAAGTTATAATGTCCACCATGGGGCCATGACAGCTGGGTAAGTAAGGACACAGTTGCTCTCAAATGTCTCAGGACACAATTGTTCTCAAACGTCTCTCTCTGTCTCTGTCTCTCTGTCTCTGCCTCTGTCTCGCTCTGTCTTGTGCACGTGTGCATGGGCATGTGTGTGCATGCATGCGCACACACACACACAGACACACACACGCACACACACGCACACCAAGTATGTCAAATCACGCCACTCAAAGACCTAAAGAATACTTGGACGTCCCCATCTGACATACTTCTAAAGGTCACTGTAAATCAAAGAGGAGACCCCTAACCATCTTTCTGCCTTCCCTTAAGTGTCTCCCTATTAAGAAACATGACAAGTGGGCATCCATGCATCTTATGTTCAAGTCACATGGATTAAAAGAATATGATTCATGTAGCAAATACCTTTTTAGCAAAATATACTAATCAACTAGAAAAAATTGATATCTTTCTCATAATATCTTAATCGCTATCAATTTATCTCAACCTTCAAGAAGACTTCAATTAGAATGTTTCTTTTTGATTCCACTTAAAAATTCTTGGCTTCATATTAAACTGTTTCCCTGGCTATATATAGCTGTTCAATTTCAGGTTTATAATTATTATTATTATCATCATAATCATCGTTATCATTTAAAACTAACATTTACAGAGCCCTATTTTTACTCCAGGAATTGTGCACTGAGATCTCTATATAAATTACCTCATCTATTCCTCATGAGAATTAAAATTATTATGACTGTGCTTTCATCTTTTAGATGAGGAAATTGAATATTGGAAAGGATAGATACTGTCAAATTTCAAAAAGCTAGTAAGAGCCAAAAATAGATCAAATCATATCCATATATCTAGAAATGAACTGTAAGCCTATTAATAAAAGTAGCTAGGATAATCCAGAGATGCACATACCTAACATCTCTTATAAACTGTCCTCTACTTTTTAGGAATTTCTTTTAAAATTAGTAACATCTATAATAAATAAAAGATCCTGAAGGGAACCAAAAGCTTTAAACAACGGGAGAAAACTTCAGTAGGTTAAGCTGTCTGTGAGACACAGAAGAAGAGATGAATGGTTTAATTAAAGAATTTAGAGGGGCGCCTGGGTGGCTCAGTCATTAAGGGTCTGCCTTTGGCTCAGGTCATGATCCCGGGGTCCTGGGATCGAGCCCCGCATCGGGCTCCTTGCTCGGCAGGAAGCCTGCTTCTCCCTCTCCCTCTGCCTCTCTTTCTGCTGGTGCGCTTTCTCTCTCTCTCTCTCTCTCTCATGCTCTCAAATAAATAAATAAAATCTTAAAAAAAAGAATTTAGAGGGGCACCTGGGTGGCTCAGTTGGTTAAGCGACTGCCTTTGGCTCAGGTCATGATCCTGGAGTCCCCGGGATCGAGTTTCACATCGGGCTCCCTGCTCAGCAGGGAGTCTGCTTCTCCCTCTGACCCTCTTCCCTCTTGTGCTATCTCCCATTCTCTCTCTCTCTCAAATAAATAAATAAATAAATAAATCTTAAAAAAAAAAAAAAAGAGGGTGCCTGGGTGGCTCAGTCGTTAAGCGTCTGCCTTTGGCTCAGGTCATGATTCCAGGGTCCTGGGATCGAGTCCCACATCGGGCTCCTTGCTCAGCGGGAAGCCTGCTTCTCCCTCTCCCACTCCCCCTGCTTGTGTTCCTGCTCTCGCTATGTCTCTCTCTGTCAAATAAATAAATAAAATCTTAAAAAAAAAAAAAAAAGAATTTAGAAATGATGTGGCCAGAAATGCCAGGTACCAGGAGAGCTGGTAGTTGAGTATATCTAAAT